CAGCGCCAATGCAAATAGCAATGGCATTGCACGTGACCGAGTCGTACCGAGTCGGGGACAATGCCGGCTCGGCTCGGGCCTGACACTAACGCGACATGACACCCCTAGGGCCGGTCCGGTCTAGGACCGTGGCGGCACGGCACGGCACGGTGAAAGCAGGGCCCGTGGCGCACGCACGGCCGTCCCGATCCGCCACGCCGGTGCACGCCAGACGTCGCACTGCCTCTCTCGCACCCCCACACGCCGCCACACGCGTGCGAGAGAGGCAGAGACAGAGCGATGAACCAAAGAGCACACGGTTCGGAACCGCCAGGGCTGCTTTGCGCTTCGCCCGGCGGTGCGCGTTGCGCGTTGCCCACCCTGCCGTCAATGGCCGTATGGGTCGTCGCTTCGCGCGGGCTGCGCCTGTGTCTGTCCCTCTCGGTCTCTCCCAGTCTCTCTGCCTCTCTGTCTGTCTCTCCGTTTAGCCTGGAATGCCCGCGGACGGCCCCAGCCCCGCGGCCACGCCCTGGGTGACGCACGGCGCGCCGCGGCCCCGCGAGGGGAGGCAACCAGAGGCAGCGCGCAGCGCACCTAGCCTAACCCGTCCCGACCCAAAGCACTGCACGAGCCACAGCGGTGTTGTTGTTTTCTTTCCCGGACAAGCCATCCTCGCCGTCAGCGGTGAAAAAGCCGCGTACTCAGACAACGCATGTTTGTTATTAGCGCGTCGAACAAAGTGCGCGGGCATGAATCAACAACAACAACAACAACAACCAACAGCGGCAGCAAGAAAAGCACGGACGGAAAGGGAAAAGAAAGGAAGAAAGGCAGAGCGGTTGCCGCGCCAAAAGCCAAACGCCAAAAGCGAAGGAAGGATATGAGGCGAGGCGCTAATTCAATTCCTTTCAAGTCGATGGCGATGACGACGCCGCGCCTGCGCAGGCCGTCCCGTCCCGTTCGCTCCGTCTCCGTCGCACTCGAGGGCCGCTCCGCGTGCTCCGCAGGGGTGCGAGAGAGACGGAGCGACCCCTCGGAATCGCTCGGCAGCGCCAGCGGCCCGGGCCGCAATTGTTTATTTTAATGACCCGTAATCAACACGCGGCCGTCCGTGGCGAGCCAAGTTCCGCCCTCCACCCCGTTCCAATCCAATGACCGCGCGCCGCCGCCCCGCGCCGCCTAGCGTCCCCGTCGTGTGTGGCGAAGTGGCCGACACACCTTCAAACCGAGCCACCTGCAGTCCTGCAGTCGGCTGCGAAGCGCCCCGCCACGCCCGCTCTCTGATTGGCCGAACCGGGCCGAACGAGGAACGGCCGGGCGGAGGGTTGCCGTTGCGTCCGTCGGGTTGCAGTCCAAGAAGTCGTCTCATTTGAGTGGGTGGCAGTTCCGCCAGTCTCGGGCGGGTTGCAGTCTCAGCTGACCAGCCAGACTAGAGAGCCAGCTAACCTAACCTAAGCCAACCCCACGAGGCTGTCTGTCGGGCCCGAGCGTCAGCAGCCGCACTCGTGTCGTTCCCCCCGAAGGTGTTATTTTCACACAAACAAAATCAAAGCCGGATTGTTTGCGCCCGCCGAGTACCTGGCTCTTGACTCCTGAAGCCACTCCCCCTCCCCCCTCCCCCACTCTCAGCTGAGCGGGGCACCTGAGGGAGGGGAGGGGGGCGGGGAGGACATCCGGCAACAGCGCACACCTCACCTGGCGACGAGAACCGGCCGAGACTCGAGACTCCGAGACTCCGACCGGCAGCACAGCCCCGGCAGCCCAAGCACGGCGCAAGCCTCTACGCGTGGCGAGCCGCTTGGAGACGAGTGGAACGCCGAGGAAGAGGGCCTTCTTGTCCAACTTGTTGTGCACGCACACACTCACTCAATCTCCTGCAGATCGATTCCGAGAGTCGTGGCCCCAAGACACTGGAGCACGGTTGAATGAAAGCCCAGCCGTGCTACACAGATTTACCTGACGGCATGATGAGCAGAAAGCAACAGACACCAGTTCGCATGAGTCACTGCCCTCGCGACCCTCACGCCGTTACCGATCCACCTGTCGCGCTGTCGCCCTGTGGTCGTGTCGCGTTTGGGGGGGGGGGGGTTACAGTGGCGCCGTCGTGCTAAGCCAGTCCGCCCCTCAGGCCGCGACCGGCCCACTGTAATCCCGGGCCGATCTCTGGCGGCCAACACTTGGACAGCACAACACCTTCAAACACCTTCGCGCGGTGGGGCTGCCACAGGCTGCCCGGCTGGAGCTGTTGAGGCAACAAGGCTCGGCAAGATTTCGCTTTCGCAAGCCACCCGTCCCATATATACTGCCCTGCCGCATGACTGCTGGTGCACTGTAGGCACTGCAGGCACTGCAGGCTGCATGCAGCGCAATGCGGTTGCTGCACCACACTGCACCGGCCGGCCGCGGGCCGCTTCCGAACGGAGAGCGCTCTGTCTCGCTCGCACCGCCGCGGAACGTTCGGGACGCCGCGAGAGTGCGGGAGAGACGGAGCGGTGAAAGAACCGTTCGGAGCGAGCTGTCCGCGCGACGCGACTCATTCAACGAGGCGCTGTCGGCGTGCCGCACCTGCCGCGGCTACACTGTAACAGGTTAGCGAGCACACTGTATAGTCTCCGCCATTGAGTGCGCGCCGCGCCGGCCACAGCTCTTACCGCCTCTGCCGCGGCGAGCCAGCCACTACATCCGAGGCGTTATCGGCACCCCACGCATCGCTCGGCCTCGCCACCGTCGTTGACACCCAGTCTAGTCTCTCGCATAGGTGCGAGAGAGATGGCGCGAGTGAGGTGCACGGCACTGTCGTGCGGACGGGCGTTGAGGTCTCCACCGTCTCCACGGCCTCCGCCGCCTCCGCCGCCACGGCCGGTGCTTGGCCTCTTGGCGCCACCGCGCCGGCCGGTCGGCGCGACGCGACAAGTCAGCCGGCCTATTCAGAAGAGTCGTCTCGTCGCCCTGTCTCTCTCGCACTCACAGGGCTCTTCGTATGGGTGCGAGAGAGACGGAGAACCGCTCGGCAGACAAGTGTGGCCGCGTCGGCGCCGCCAGGCTCTGCACGCCGGCCGCGTGGCCGCCACCGCCTCTGCTCGGCAAGGTCAAACACAATGGAACGGCACAGTGCAACGCAGTGCAATGGGAAAGGCGAAAAAATAAAATTGAAAGGAGCCGAGCCGAAGCGCCGCTTGCCGCCGCGGCGCCGTCCGGGAGAAACCGAGGCCAAATCGTGTGTCGTTGTCGTCCGCAGTTTCCGGCCGCTCACTTTCTTCTTCTTCGCAATGCCAGTGCTCGATGAGTTCAGGACGCAGAACGACGAGACACTTTTCGCAGGACTACTACTGTGCTGAGCGATCCAACAGGGCGCTCCCTGCAGCGCGCCAAAACGCAAACTCTCATCCGAGGCCGAATGGAGGGAGTTTTTGTCCCTCCTTCCGGTCCCCGGTTGACGGAATGGCCCCGTTCCCGTTCCGACATTTAAATTTCTCCCGCCATTTCCATCCGCTGGGCCGGTGTGCCGCTGGGCCGGTGGGCGGCTACGCCCAGCTGGACGCCGCGCCGCCACGCCGCGATGTTGACTTTGTCGTGCTGGCTTGGCCTGGCCGCTCGGCCGCCGACGCGTCGCCGTGGCGACACCCACGTGGCGTGCCGGCGTGCCAGCGTGGAGCGTGGAGGTGCCAGCCTCTACGGCCCCTCTCGTCCCTCTCGTCGTCGGAGTTAGTCACATTTTTCAGATTGAATATTAGGCGACCGAACCGGCACTTATGTGCCTCACCGCCGCCCCGCCCGCCACCACCTCCCCAGATTAGTTTGTTGGCCCGAAGTCCGGGCCTTATTGACTTGGGAATAATTGACATGACTCAAGAATTTATGTTAATCAAGTGGACCTGCCGTGAAGAAAAATTAAAAGCAGCCCCGAGAGAGAGAGAAAAATAACACAATTTTCAAGGTGTGAGGTTCAAGGTTCAAGGCTCGACTTTCAACGACGCGTCCTTTTTTTGCTCCACGATACACTTCGATACTTGAGCTTCTTCCTCGTTTTTCGTTGTTATTTTTACCCCGGTGTTGTGGTCTCGCCAGAAGGCCGGCCTTTCTGGGGAAAACAAGAACCGGTATGCCTTTCCTTCCCTTCCATTCCCTCTCGCGTCTCACCATCGCGGCCTCCATGGCGGCATGCGTGGAGCGGCGTGGAGCCCAGCCCGGCAGCCCGGCTTTGAGCGGCCTGGCCGGCCTGGCCCAGCGGGCTCATTCCGAACAGTGCTTTCTTTCGTCGTTCTGTCCCACTCGCACCCCTTCGGGGCCCTACGGGGTGCCCAACGAGTGCGAGAGAGACGGGTTGGGAAACAGCCTGCAGCGGAGCGCCCAGCGCCCTTCCCGCAGGACATTGATCCCGTAATGAGCTGGCTGCCAGCCCCGCCAGCCCCGCCAGCCCCGCCCCGCCGTGCCACAAATGTGGGCCATGTAACGCCGCACGGCGCGCCCACCGCTGCATTTCTTCTTTTATTCCAAAAGAAATATCCCCGGAAAAAAGTTTCCGGACTTCCCTGGGCCCTCCTGGGCCCTCCCGCGAGGACGCCGACGATGAGCTCGCTCTCGCTCGTACGTGCAAGGAGCTGAATGTACTGTACGAGCAGCGGGGCCGGGGCTGAGGGGCCGGAGAAGGCAGGGCCAGGGCCCGCCGATAAATTAGAGTGTGACAGCGGGCCCTCCCCGCGGCGTCGCGGCGTGCGCACGACCACAGCGTCAAGCTGGTGGGGGAAAAAACGGGGAAAAAACTCACCCCATCAAATTAAATCAAAACTACTCTCGCCGCCCCGGCCGGCCGATCGGGCCTCGGGTCCGAGCACCGCGCCCCGCCCCGCACCCCGCCCCGCACCGCGTGCGCCTGACCTTTTTCTGGCAGCGGGGCCACTTTGCTTTTACCGACGCCATTCTTTTTGAGGTCGCTAATCGATACATACAGTGCCGATGAATTAGGATAGGGACTTCGGGCCGGTGGACGCACACTCCTTGTCACTCCACTCCGCACTCACCTGGTCTACCTGCGCGCCCGCTGGGTGGCGCTGAGGACGGCAGGGGGCACCTCGGACCGCTCCAGGTCCTCGCCGTGGAGGTCCAGGCCCCGCATCATCTGCACGATCTCGCGCTCCTTCTTGTGCTCGGGCGTGCCGGGAGCCCCGGGAGGCCCGAACTGCAGGCTGGCAAGCGAGCCGTGCGACCGGGACCGGTGCTCCTGCCTGATGGAGTAGCTGAAGGCGCGCTCGTTCAGGTGGCCCTTCTTGCGGTAGATGCCCGTGTTGAACGGGGACTCCTCCACGGGCGACGAGTCGTCGCCGTTGTCGGGGCTGCCGCCGTTGGTGCCGTTGGTGCCGTTGCCGTTGGTGTGCGCGTGCCCGTTCATGCCGTTGTGGCCGTTCACGCCGTTGTGGCCGTTGTGGTGGCCGTTGACGGAGGGCGGCGGCGGCGACATGGGCGGCCCGGGCGGCCCTGGCGGCATCATGCCCGGCGCCATCATGGGTAGCGCGCCCGGCATGGGGATGGGCACTGGGATGGCCACGGGCACGCCGTTCTTCTTGTTTTTCTTGTTCTTCTTCTTGCCGCGGCCGTCCAGCGTGGCGGTGGCGGCCTGCGCGTACTGCTGCATGAGGTACGCCTCGTGGGGGAAGTGGCCGGGCTGGTACGAGGCCACGGGGCTCAGCGGCCGCGCTGACGGCATGTAGATGGGCTCCTCCATGCCCATGGGTCCCATCGGCGGCCCCATGGGAGGACCCATCGGCCCCATCGGTCCCATGGGGGGTCCCATGGGCGGTCCGTGCATCATGGGCGGCGGCGGGCCGTGCTTACGCCGCCCCATGGTGGTGGGCGGCGGGGGCGGCATCATATACCTCATGGGGCCCATGGGACCCATCGGCCCCATCGGCGGTGGCATGGCCATGGGCGGCGGCATGCCCTTGTTCTTGCCGAAGGTGCCCGCCTTCTTGCCCGTGGGGATGGCCACCAGGTGGGGGCGGGCGTGCGGGGGCGGCGGCGGCAGTGTCATCATCATAGCGGGGTGGGGGTGCGGAGGCCCGTGGTGCGGGGGGCCATGGGGCGGCCCGTGTGGAGGGCCGTGGGGCCGCATTAGCGTGCCGTTGCTGTACAGGGCCTGCATGTGCTCGCGCCCCGACATGGAGCTGTGCGGCCGCGCGTGCCCGTTCATCTGCATGGTGGCCCCTCGAGCCAGCGAGCCACTGGTGCTGCGCGCCATGCTGGGCGCCATGCTGGGCGCCATGCTCGGCGTCATGCCGGGGTACAACTCCTCGCGGCTGCCGCCCAGCATCTTCTTGCGCCGCAGTCGCTCCTTGGCGGTCTTGCTCTTCTTGCCGTTCTCCTCCTTGGGGGGCGGCGGCGGGGGAGGCGGCGGCGGCTGTACAGGGGCCTGGATCTGGCGGGGCCGGCCAGCCCTCGAGGACCTCGTGATGGTGGCGCCGAACGTCGCGTACAGGGCGCCGCCCGCGTCCACGGCGTCCACCTCGTCGCGACCCGCCCACACCTTGTGGTTCTCGTCGCCGTTGTACACGGAGAGGTCGTCGACGTCGTCCTCGGCGCCGAAGTCGGCCCGCGAGTCCAGCGTCCCGTTGTGGTTGCCGTTGCTGAGGCTGAGCGACGAGCCGTGCGCCTGCCGCCAGCCCTCCACCTTCTCGATGCTGTTGCTGCCCATGGGGCCCATGGGGCTGCCCATGGGGCTGTGGCTGGACATGTGGCGGCTCAGCGTGCCGTACACGGAGCCGTTGCCGTTGCTCTGGCCGCCCTGGCCGTCCATGTGCTTGGCGTAGGACGAGTCGGCGTACGCGTGGAAGCAGCAGCGCACCAGGGCGTTGGCGGCGGCCTCGCGCTTGCAGATGAAGGCATGGCACTCCAGCACCTTGATGCCCGTCGTGCGGCGCAGGATGGCGGCGAAGAGGGGCGGGTGCACGGGGCTGGGCGCGGACGCGAAGGGCGAGTCGAGCGGCAGGAACCGCGGCTGGCTGCTGTTGGATTGGCCGTTGGACTCGCCGTTGGCCTTCTCGGGCACCAGCACGTGGCGCACGGCGGCGCAGTAGTGGAGCGACGAGATGGGGAAGAAGCGTGTCACCTCCTGCCTGTTCTCGTCCACGTTCTCCAGCAGCAGCCCGTTGCTCCACACGCTGAGCCACGAGTCGATGCCCCTGGCGCCGCGCGCGCCGCCCTCGGGGTACAGCTCGCGCAGCGGGCCCTGGATGCCCTGCAGGCCGTCCTTGCTGGCGTGTGGCACGGCCGAGCCCAGGTACAGCACGCGGCACCTGCAGATGGGCGTGGCCGCGTCGCCCTGGCCGCCCTGGCCGCGCGGGGACGCCATCCTGGAGGAAGGCAGTGTCACGGTTTACACGTCGTCGCCGACGTCAGCGCCTCTTCAGGGTCTTCGTCGACGTCCTGGACGTCGTGTCGATGGCCGCTGCCTCTAGGCCTGGCCGCAGGACCGCAGGACCGCGGTGTTGTCGCGACGCTACGCTACACCCAGACCCGGGTCAGCATCCTGGCGTCGAAGCGGCAACGCTGCGCGCTGCGCCACGCCGCGCCACGACGTACCTGGAGGGATCCTGCAGGGGCCGAGCCGCGCCGCGCCGCGCCGGGGCAGGCAGGGCCGCTCCGGGCTGAGGCTGCTGGATGGAGCTGGAGCCCGGGCCGTCGGGCCGTCGCACAGGTGGATCGCGCGTGGCGTGGCGGGGCGTAGCGTGGCGGAGCGCAGCGCCACGGGTCGTGTCAGCTACAAGGAGCTCCTCGAGCTGCTCATCAATGGGGTCGTCAGCACACTGCACACTCACACACTCACACGTCGACAAGGGGTATCCACACGTGTCACCAACCAAAGCACTCACTGGTCACCACTTCCACGATAAACATCACTGCACTGGCGATTCACACACTGCACACTCCAGCCGACAGTAATCCAGAGGGTAGGAATCCGATCACAGGAGCCAGATCCCAGGAATCCCGGGTATCCCAGGCGTCGACTCGACAGGTGCGGCGCGGCGGCGCGACGCTGCGATGCAAGCCACAGGTGCGTGCAACGTAACTGCGGCACAGGGCACTGCGACCCAGGCCGGCCTAGGCCCTCCGCGACGACGGCGGCACGGCGCGGTTTTGCGACGCGGTTGTGCGCGGCGCGGTACGCTCCCACTTGCCTCGGGAAGTCGGCTATGACTGGGGACTCGGTCGGGGTCGGACTCGGCTGGCGGCGCGCGCGCGCGGCCCGGCGGCTCCCCGCCCCCCACTCGGCCCCTCGCCGCCCCCCTCGCCCTCACCTGGCCAACCTGGCCGGGCGGGGGCCCCTCCACTCCATGCCCCACCTCCTCATCCACCTCGGCTTGGGCTTCGTGGGGCTGGGACGGCTGGGCGGGCACCAGGCGCTTGGCCACTGCTTGTCAGACCCAGACCGTGTCGTGGCGTGCTTCAGCTTCAGCCATACCTTGGCCACACCGCGGGAATGCGGCAAGCACGGCCAGTGCAGGGTGCAGGGCCGGTGCAGGGGGTACCCGGGGGTACCCGCACCGCTCCACATACCCCGATTGGGCCCCCGGCGTTGCGGACAGGCGGGCCGCCGACAGGTGGCAACGCCTTGCCTCAGCCTTCAATCTGTCTCGCGCTCTCGGCTCTATCGAGTACCAATCAAGTTGCAGTAAAGTGCAAAACTACTGCTGAGAGTTTCGTGTTGAGGAACAAAACGAGGGAGAGAAGGAATCAAAAGTAACATTAAATATAATATATTTGTCATGTAATATTGTACAAATACATAACATGCCAAAACCAACATTATATACATTGCAAACATAAACATGTTCAGTGCTGGACAACTGTTAATTACTTTCACAATTTACACAACATGTACAGAAACAAACGGCACAGTAAGACAATAGGACTTTGTGCTTGTGTTTGCTGGAACTAAAGCTGATAGCACGCCTTCCTTAGATCCACAATCCACATCATATTCTTCATCAGACCTTACACTCAAAGAGGAGAGGAATGGCGCCTTTGGTTGCCAAGCAAAAATAATTATAACAATTGTATTAATAATCTTAGCAAAGAAATGCGGCACCAAAAAACACAAATAACAAAAAAAAAAAAAAACATAACTTCAAATTTTCTAGTCAACTTAAGTCATGTCAGAACAGAACACCTAAATTGTACGATATCATGGAACATCTGATCCAGCAATCTATCATTTGACAGGAGGTACAACACAGTAATATTTGCAAATAAGCAAAACAAATGCGATAGGGCATGGCATCATCAATTTAAATCTGATACACAACACTTGGTCACATATTAATGGCTTTACCCTGACATCCCTGAGTGTAGCTAACACATGGAAGAAAAACATCACACTTCGTTTCTTCTTTACCAGCAGCTTCCTGTAGATCTTTAGTAAAAAAAAAAAACTTTAGGATTTAACTTACTCAAATTTACTTGCAGTACATAAATCTATTATTACTTATTTGCAATAAGAATAGTCACATAACAACTTACAAATGAATCATGAAAAAATATCTTAAGGCCCATTCCAAAAACTACCATCAAACCTTACATACATAACAAGCACACGTAACAATTAAATAAACCCATTGGTTTTTCTGATGCAAAAAATGCTGGCTTGAAACTTCAAACACAAACCTGTTTATTTTTTTTTTTTGTTTTTAACAATTTGAATGAATGCATGTGAGCATGAACAGCCAAAACAAAGACATAATTTTATGTCTTTACCTCCACAATGCTACAGAAAAATGGATTATTAATGCCTGGCAACTAATAAAGACTATTCCTCACCATTAATGCAAAACATTCAACCAAGATAGCTATACAACTGTACACTATGGCACCTCCTGTTAAAATCGAAGAGACTGACAAACAGCAGCAATAATTTACCCCCCCAAAAAAAAATTTAAAAAAATGAAAAGGGTCATAAGATATCTGAAACAATGTGCTATCTTTTATGTTTTGCTTGGGTGTAATACAAACGTGATCTGTGAGCAAATTGTAACACCATAAACATAGGTTTTAGTGGATACAAGGTTGGAATTCATTACTGAGTATACTGCCCTAGAAAAACATTCTGCATCTATAAATACTGTAACTAGCAACTGGTGAAGAAAAGGAGCACATCCAAGTAAAATGGGTTCGTAAAAGCCTAAGTAAAGTTTCATCTATTTCCTCCGGCCTCTTCTTAGGATTGAATAAAACTGATATGTTAATACACTTTATAAAATCTTGCGAGAAATTGAAGTTGGAAAAGGGACAATCATGAATTTAATTTAGATTTTCACTTGGGCATTCCTTTTCTTGTTACTTATCTATAATTAAGCAGAAACCTGTAACTTGGATTAAATAAATCTAGGTCAAAATATGAATACTTTGTCAAAAGATGATACAGACAGCAGGAAAAAGAAAACATAAGGTAAAAGAATTTGAACTGACTGGTTCCATGCTTGGTATGTACATTTTTTTTTTAATTTTTTTTTTACTTAGAAGTTTGTATAGTGGTAGACATAAAAGCTTGTATCTGACATACATTAGAGGGAGGAAAAAGAGGACTCAAAGGCCATGCTACACTATATAAAAGACAAAGGTAGAAGAGACGCACAATTGAAATCAATTTCTGATTTCTACTAACATTATTTGTATCAAACCCACAATATGCACAGCCAATAACTTTCAACACTTTAAGAAAGCAACACAGTCACAGGTACCGCTCCTCCAACTTTATGCAGTCAGTAGTTAAGTCTATATTCAATCCACACTGCAATTAACTTGCTTAGATAGATTTGTTTGATCTAGAAAGGCACTGCTTGTCACCTATGAGCACTACTATAACATACAATGTGAGAGCAGTGGGCCAGCAACCAGGTAAACCTGCAGCCAAAAACAAAGTGTTTTAGTCCAAAAGGAAATACAGAACTGTATTTTATACACTTTTATAAAATGTGGCAAATCTCAAGGATTTATATAAGCCTCAAATGCATCTTTGAGAAATGTAATTAATAAACCAGTTGTCTGTCTATATCCAGACAACCTCCAGATTTCTCCAATAAAACTCTCAACTAACTAATGGTAAATATATTGTGACTGCAAATAACTGATGCAATCAGCTGAGGAAAACAAGCAGTACATGACTTCCTTTAGTGCTTCATGAGAGAAATTCTTCAGCATCAGTACCATATTCATTAAAATACAAGATATACACAAATTCATTTGTCTTTACACACGATTCTTAGCTTGTTTAATTAGCAGAAACCCTTACTACTACTACTACTGCTCAGAAACCCGTCAATCCCTAAGCAGACACATTACCCTAAAATAAAACTAATGGGTGTCAACCTTAAAGAAACCCTTATTCTCTCTCTATTTTAAAACACTATTAAAAAGGACATTGAGTGAAAGATTCAAGACAAAGAAGGTAGAAGTACCTCTCTTTTGATGAGGTTCCCTAATTTCTACGCCTCTTGTTTGCAGGGAAAAATCCAGGGCTTGCTGGTGTCATGACAGGAGTATTGAGTTCTGATGACAGGATGTTTACAGGAGAAGGTGGTGGAGTTGATCTGATATTTTCTGTGTTCCATATATCTTCTAAGTCCATGAAGTCTGGTTGATAATACATAATTTCATTGCCTTTAAAAAATGAAATAAAATTATATTAGGACAAATTAACATCAAAGAAATAATAAGCATGCACTATTAATTGTATGGTATTAATGGAATATTTAGGTCGTACCAGATGTATCCATCTTGGAATTTAAGTTTGTTTCCTCTGGATCTGAAAGTATTTGATCTCCAAAAAGCTGTCGACAAAAGATTTTGACACATTAACCAATATTCATTACTGTATACAGTCACACATTGTGTAAGATCAAATAGTGGTCCAGTGAAAGAAATGAGTGTTCCTTACCCCTAGTAATGTGTTAGCATCCAATTGCATACCACTGTTGTTAAATAACTCTTTTAACGTGCCCAGATCTGACTCGATGGTACCAACGTGCAAGTCAAGATCATCCCTGAAAAAATTTAAAAGCAACTTGTCAAGTTTAGAACACAAAGTGACAGATTCGTTTAAGTGCAATCTCAAAATAATCAAGTTTCAATTAGAAGATACACAGTTCACCCTGCTTTCACTCTTTTAACAGCATAAAAAAAAACTTAGTAACATACAAAGACTACAGCTCATGTGGTTAAGTGTAAGAACCCAGCACGTCAGTTTACACCACTGTACCAAAATTACTGTAATTGTACAAACATTTAGTAATACGGTTTGTTACATTTTCAGACAAGCTGTGCATTAGATCTCATTCATACTTACATACAGAAAGCTTGAACTTTAAGAAGAACAATTGGCGCATTAACAGAAGTGATATGTTATAGACAACTGAACACTGACACATTTAGATTGCAGAAGGTATGCACTACCAGGACAGCTAATTAAGAAGCTGCATAGAAAAGAAATGTAAAGGTACAAATCAATATCAATTTGTATCACTAAATGAGCTGTCTTGCACTACAACCAAGCTCTCCAAATGTTGATCAGTGTTCAGGCAAAACAACCATATCATTCCTGACACGGCCACAAATGGAAGTAACTCACTTTCCGTTTATCTCGCACCTATTGAAACTCGGTGATTTGACAGTCACATAGTTTCCTGGAGAAGAGCCTGCTTGAGATGTACATGCTAGAGTCATGTCATAAGGTAAATTTAGTCCAACAGGAGATGACTCCGACATCTGTTGCTCTGACGATGCTGTGTTGTCCGGTTGTTGAACAACCATGGGACTGGTGACATCCGTTATTGTTGTGCCAGACACTGGAGACAACGATGGCATAGATGAAATCATGTCTGAAAATAAAGATGAAATATAAGAAAATATAAAGATGAGCAGCTGAAAATTTTAACACAAGAAGTATAAATATTTGAGACTCAATTTAAATTGAGCAGGTTAAAACCACTCATGTTGCCCAAAAACCAAAACTATGTCAACCGGACTACTATAATTACAGAGAAGAGAATCTACTGAATAAAATCAGGCCAGCATGCGCATAGAGTTAAACAGAGAATATGTTCCTCTTTAGAAGTTAGGTTATTGAAATATTTAATAGGACAAGATTAACTTCAAATTGACTCGCCCTAAAAGTTGAAATAAAGACATACTGCACTGTGAGGCTGGTGAGGACACAGGCGAGTTTATAATAGGAATGGGAGACTCCGGTAGCGGGAAAGCTAGATGCTGGCTCGGATCCGGTGAGTGAATGGATCCATTTAAGGAGCCATCTGTTGAAAATACACGTAAGCAAACAACATGATTTGGTACATAAAAAACTTAAAAAACAATGTTGAGATGGTACAGGTTACAACTAGATTACATGGGAAGGGTGCAGGTCACTACATACATCACACCACATGCCATCTCACATTCAAAATTTGAACCTGAGTTCACAAATGTCTGGATCATCAATTTAGAACCCAGGTCAATGACAGTCAACCATCTAACAAAATCTTTCAGCATGCACTATGACTATTGAGAGATTTGTGAAAATGGAAACACTTAATCAACTTCATAAATACAAAAAAAGCTCATGCAGTAAGCTACCGACACACTTACGTGTAGGGTCATTGTTCTGGTTCAAAGACGACGTGGTTGGGCTCAGTGATGGATTTGTCAAACCCACCTCCGCAAGAAGGTCCTCAGATTCAACTCTAATTAAAATAAGGGGAAAAACAGGATTCCAAAACAGGAATTAGAAAAGCATTAATAAATGAAAACTAAGTTTCTAAAATCAATCATGTTTTTAACAAAATCTTACATATTATCAATGAGTTCATTCTTTGGAGTCAGTAACATTTCCTTTCCATTGGTAGACTTCTTCCTTCTATTGCGAGGAGGTAAAACTCTCAGCTCTCGTTTTGCTGTTGCAGCTTGCTCCCCACCAAGGGTTTTCACCCCATGAACTTGTGCCCCCATTTTAGAAGGTGTGGTTGATTTAGCAGCATTTGCAGCACTTTTACGAGTCATCACATTAGACTTGGAGGGTCCAGGTCCTGAACTTGAAGATGATGATGCTGATGAAGATCGGGTAAGGATCTTCTGTGGTTGGGACTGCAAAGGAGCAGGCGCCTTTCCCTAAGAGTAAACAATTTAGTTTATGGATTACGGAAAGCTAATGACCATGTAGAACATATCACCCAGCACCAATTTTCTTAAATACTTTGACAATAGTAACCAATTTAACTTATTGTTGGGTTGCTCAAACTACATAATGACACAAGTACTGATCAACTAGAATTGACTGATACCTTGCTCACTAGAAGAGCGGGGACAATAGCAGGGCTCAGTTCATTAGGGGGTGCGGCTGCAAGGAACTCTGGACTTGGTGAGGATGCTTTAAGGGTTTCTCCCAACGGCAACCCTTCCGCTAAATTTACCTCCGTTGACGTCACTGACGATGGTGAGGTAATGAGAGGGATGATTGAAGGATCGAGATTTTCCAGAACTTCTGGATTTGGGCTCAGTACCTCCGGCTCCATGCTGAATATACACAAAGTTAATAAGTATATACTGCAATTCTCTTGATACATGAATAAAATTCCAAATATGGGTGCAAGAGTTGAATAAAATACATCCAGGTCATAGGACATTTACCTTCCATCCATCTCCAGTTCAGTATCGGGCAAATGGAGTGTGTCCGTGTCAGGTAATAATGAATCATCTAACTCGTGAATAGTTGGTCCAGAAGATGACCGCGACATGTTGCTCTGAGAGGCACGCAATGACATAATTAAGGGCCCCCTTAGCTGGAAAATGCCACACAATGACCAAGAGCCACAACCATAGAAATAGAAGTGACAAGGAATCACTTCAAAAGAATTTATAGACAAAAATAATTTATCAGCAATTCAAAAGATAATGGAAGAAAGAAAGCATAAATTTAGCCAATTGTTTCAGGAAGCAGTGACGAGAGAGGCACCTGAAGTTTATTCCTACCGCATGGTTATAGATAGACCAATAATAACGAAAAACATTTTTTTTTAGCTTGGCTGGAGGTCATAATTCTAAGACAGTAACAATTTAACAGTAGATTCACTTACATTTGTAACCTTTCCACTGTCTTGCCCATTTGGATGAGGGGGATACACATCATTTATCATCAAAGGCGCAAATTTTCTCTTGCTAATCCTCTGATTAGGTTGTACTAATTGAACTAAAAAGCTGATAAGCTGCAAACACAGAATGTTCAAATTTATTTGCAATTCCAAGTAATATTATAAGAAGAAGATATATCGAAGGAATATATTCTTCTTCACAGACACACTACCTTATTTACAATATTTTGCTGTTTCAGGTGTTTCTGTCTTAAAACAGAAAGCTCCCTCCACAGCGCTTCGTTTTGTTGCTTCATCGTTGTCAAACGATTCTCAACAGCCTCTTGTCGTCCACGCATCATTTTGACCTCTGACAAGACATTGTTCATGAATTCTGCTTTTACCACAACACCACCATTGTTTCCATCCTTGCTCTCATCAATCTGCTTGCTGGTGAGGAGTTGAGACTAGAAATGAAAAATTACAGACAGTATGATGAGTGACCCATGGAGGCTCCACATGAACCAATATCAGAAGATAGTGCATACCTTGCCCACTTTTCTTTTAATGTGCTCCAGCAAGTATGGGTGGCCACGCATAAAGAATTGATGGGCAAATTCCATTTCATCTTTGTCAAGCCGCAGACTTCCTGCATCCGCAGACACGATTTTGTGAAAGCCATCTGCAATAGAAGTACAAATTAAAAGTAAGATTTCACACCAACTTAATTGGTAATGAAGTCATGGGTGATCAAATTAACTTACACATATTGAGTTGCCGAATAAAGCTTGCCATATTATTGTGTTTATAATACATGGGGAGCAACTTCCTTGAAAATTGAGCCTGGTCTCTGATGAAAAAACTTGTGCCTTCCTGTTACAATGAAACACATAATTAAAATCATGTTGAGGAGATGGACTACCCCCGACATATGATTAAAATTGCATTTTTGGGGCTGCGGACAACATTAGACAAGACCATAAAACTAGGTGTTTAGCTATTATTTGTATCATTTGTTCATACATTAGTAGGAAAGGGGTGGCGGTTCAAAAATAAAACATATTAAAATATATTTTCAGGGTAAATTTTTTTATTTGGGGCAGGTTTTTTTTCAAATTGAAGAAAATGATCTTTTATGTGATAATTTCCAATTTGCTACATTTAAACAAATTTGTAAAGAAACGTGGGCACCAGACCAGGTGATAACTCTCTCTAGCATAAGCTATTAGCCCCCCCCCCCTCCTATCTTTCCCATTTTCTGTCTCTCTCACTCCTGGCCTCGTCTGAGAAATGCGATCATTGAAAGAATGACACCTTCAGCCAATACATCTAATCAATCGTTAACCGATATTTCGAAAATAAACGTCTTCCCAAGAAATAAACGTAAGTGCGAAGGCCAAAAGCCTCCCGATCCAAAAAAGGCAATAATATGTCATCAGCTGCCGAGGGTGGTGGGGGTCACTTGGAACAAAATATGTATACACCGCTCTGCCCGAGTTGTACGGTCCACACAAGGATTAATGTACGCAGAATCCAACTGAAATCAATCCCTTGGATGACAGTGTCCTTGATAATACGCAGTCGTTACTGTCATCTGCTCAGAAAACCGAGTTGTCGTTAGGCTAGGCTCACCTCCGTCCAACTAATAAGCTCATTGGTTTCGGGATCGTCTACAAGTTTCCACAGCTTGGCTAGGAAAGCCGGGACATTAGCCCCAAATTCTGATATAGAATGCATTTTGAGCTCGAGCACGCGATTTTACACAACAAATGAAATATTTTGCGCACAGACGGTTATGTTCATCACTTCACTCTGTCATGGCGAGCCATGCGCACTACAGATGCGCGGTGGCAAAGTTTTGTTGATGATTGTACAGGGAACTCTCGAGGCCACAAGGCCAGTGTCTAAACACAGGAGTAGACGAAAATTCGAAAATTATGTCAATGGGCTCCAACTGCATCCCATCAAAATCAACTTAGACCCTAGAAAGATGGTTTGGAATTTTCGGAAGGCAGAGCTTTGCAGCAAACTCCAGTTTCCGACGAAATTTATTTCGCCCTGTTTTACCGACTCTGACTGTTCCTCCGCGTTCTCGTGACATTTAGCCTTTGAAAGGCGTTGCGGTGGCATTTCCTCACGGCGAGAGCTCATTTTGTCGAAATCCAGGAAGAGACACGACTTCTCAAAAATGACATTTATTAAAATATTTTTGCAAACAACATAAACAAATCCGGGCTAGCCGGAGTCACGTTGCAGCGCACATTGGGGAGGACCTCGCTCACGTTGTTCCCCACGTGTGCCTAGCAGTGTGCCCCCCGCGGCCCTCGCCCCCTCCACCTTCCCTCCACGCTCCCCTCGCCCAATGAGCGGGGCCGGCTGAGTCATCTGACCATCTGACAGGTTGCCCCGTGTTTCCGCGCCGTCTCTCTCGCACTCATGGGGAGCCCCCCCTGACCGCGGCGGTGTGCGAGACAGTAAGCGCCACGAAGCGCAGTTCGGACGCGGCCGTCAGTCGCGCCGTTCCGCCCACAGATGGCGCGCGCGTGTCTTTAAGGCCCCACGATCGGGGCTTTCGCTGCCAACTTGGCGGTGGCAGCCGGTGCGGCTGCGACAAGCTGCACTCCCGAACGGCGGCCCAAGGTTTCCTCCTAAGTCGCGCGGCCAAATCAAACTGGATGTTTGCCTTCCCGCAGCACGTGAAACTACCGTGTCGGGACCTAACACATCCACGAGCCGCGGGAAAGAGGTTGTTGTGGTTGGCATCGCGTTGTCGGGCAAGCCAGCCCGGCTCGCCACGGCGCGGCTCCGTTTAGGGGCAAGCAGGCACCCTGCAAAGCAGGAAGCAAGTAGTAGAACATCCAAACCTGGGAGGGGTTATCCTTTGCGTGCAGCGGGACGGCGCCAGTGTTTATGTCTGTGATTTGTTGTGTTTGGCTGAGTCCTCTCGTCGCGAAACGGAATAGCAGTGAAGCGGGAACAGCGGGCCGCGTGCCGCCGGCAGGATACCGTCGTCTGCTCCCCACCAGCTGCAGGTAAAATGAAATGATCCGCCCGTGTGCGCTCGCCGCTCGCGCGAGGTGCAAGGGTCCTGCAGGAGTCAACCGGCTGAGCTGCAGCTCAGATTTTCGGCAGGAATGCTCAAACGGGGGGTGTTGGCGCTAGGCGGTTTGAAGTAGGGGCGGACGTCCCCTCGCGTTTAAGGACGAGCAGAGTCTCGCCGTGTTTCTGTCATGTAAGAGTCTAAATCAGCAGTGGTGTGGGTTACACTAACCTCACCCCCTGGTGCATTCAGTCTGAGAGAATTTTGTCACATCGTCTCATTTTGCGACGGTGCTTTACTTCTTGGCGTTGTCCACGACACTCTTTATGCGGCGAAAGTTGAGTCCTCCCGTTTCGCCTCTCTCACCTAAATTCAATCGTCAGCATAATATTTACCTTCCTGTGCAGCAGGAATGCACCAGCCACCCAGGAAGTGCAGAGCTAATAATTTTTTTTTTTAAAGCAGAAAAGAGTTTGTGTCAATGTATGAGTGTTCCTAAGAAGCATGATGCTTAATTTTTGCATAGGTGAGATCTTAAGGTCTTCACTTAAATTTTCGTTTTTGAATCTGGAAAATTTTTGTGTGAAATTAATACTGTTCAAAATCAAATTATTACCAATCATCTCCAGTCTCTTTTGAGTGAAGGCAGCCTCTTTTAAGACATTTAATCAGTTTGCCCATGTTATTTTAAGCCAGCAACGATTTGTTTGGCCCTTCTAACAGCTGTAAACACAAGATTTAGTTGAAATGAGCTCGCCCGTTTAATTCAAATTCACGTCATCATTCTGCCGAGCTTAATAATTGCCAATCTCGCAGCAGCCCTTCAACCCCCCCCCCCTTTCCGCCCTCCGCGGGGGCCGCTCCTTCCTCTTCCTGGACGGCCAGGGCATTGGCTGGGCGCTGGGGGCGTACAGCAGACTGATTCCAAAAGTCGTTTTCGTCGTGCTGTCTCTCTCGCACTCATGGGGCGTCCCATACAGTTTAGGTGTGAGAGGGACAGCGACAAAAACGACTCTCGGAATCAGTCCACTGGGGGGGGGGGGGGCAGGTCCGGAGGACTTGAGCCCGCTACGCGTCGCTACGCGCTACTCCTCAGTGGACACCGGGCCGTCAAGGCAGTCAAGCCACTGCCCCTGCCGTCGCCCCGCGCCCCGCGCCACCAACCCCGGGCCCCGGGGGCAGGCCCCCGCACCCCCGCCTGGGCAGCTTCCCCGCGTCGGCGGGCAAGCCGGGGCGAGGGGCGGGGGGCGGGGAATCGATAGCGCCCCGCGCCCCGCCCCGCCGCGCCTTTTGCGCCCCAGCGCGGTGCGCCCCTCGCAAACTACCCCTCTAGTCCGTCTGCCCCGGCCCGCCCCGGCATGAGATTAGGGCTTTTATGGATTCGCAACGGAGCTCCCGCGCTCCCGCTTTTTGAAATGTGCATTAACATTCTGAGTCAACCAGTGCGACTTTCGGGCCGTGCCTGGGCTCATTCGAAAGAAAAATGTTCAAACTATTCCCAAAATTAAAAACACTTGACCTACAAGTCCTCCCGTTTGAACGGGGTCGGTTATCGCGCCTCCGGACGCCACTCGGCAGGGCGGGGGGTCGGTCGGTCACCGCCGCGTCGAACACTCCGCATAACGTTCTTTTCATATTTCGCGAAATACGTGTTTTAGCGATCCCATTGTGTCATTTGGGAAAACTTTTAAATTATTTTAGAATTTTCCTGAGCATTTCAAGTCCACACACACTCTGAAAAGCGTAATTTACGAATCGTCGGCCGCGTGACGTCACCCGCTCGCCCCACTGTTTACAACTTCTCAAGCCGGCCGACGCTCAACATTTTAATTAGAAAGGTAAGCCACTTGGCGATTCGATTCGCCCCAAAAACCGCTTCCCAACCATTTTTTTAAGTGTTAGGCTTGATTTGCCCCGAATATCTTTCCCCTTTCCCCCTCTCAGGTTACGTGATGTCGCGAACTTGTACGAGTGACATAACCTCATAACCTCTCTCTCTCTCTGTTTGCAGTTTGTTATTCCTTTTCAACCACCAACATGGATGAGTGTGAAGAACTTCTGCCTATCGATGATAGTGTGTGGGAAGAAATTGAGATGATTTCCACAATAACAGCGAGGCTATGTTGGATGATAGTTTTTCGGCGGTCTGCCGGGGGGAAACGGTACCAGTTTCCAATGTAGTGTCATCTACTCCTGTTGCAACAAGAAGTCGAGGACGAAGTGCCCGTGCGCCCCCGCCCATAGATGTCAGACCATCTACACCAACGATGCCCTCTGTATTTGCATCTGACTCTGGTTCTCCAGCAGCATCTACAAGATCTCGTACAAGAGGAGCTACTCCAACACGGTTAGATTCGCCAAGGACCAGGTCCATGACAAGAGCAGCCACACCAACCAGGAATGAAACCAGGGGCACGGAAAGTGACAGGCCTTCCTCACCTGCGCTCAGTACAAGGTCAAGGGCAAGGGCACCAGCTGTGACGTCAACCCCATCTCGCTCCAACAGGCCTGCTCAACCACAAGCTGCACCACCACCGAAAGAAGCACCTGTTGCTCGTATTAAGTGTCCAGAATGCACTTCAACCTTTGCCAACGATGCAACATATAAAATTCATAAGAGGATGCACCTAATGAAAAGTAAGTACGGTGGAAGTAGATGTGAGTTGTTAGCACTTCATAACGGCCTGTTATTAATATTTTATTTTATTTTCCAGGAGTGTTTACAAAGATTGCAAATCCTGAAATGTTTATGGAGAAACTACCGTCTCTCATCATGGATACATTGGAAAAAATCATTAAAGAAAAGTTTGTTGGTAAATATGCTGATAGCTTGAAAGCTTATGCAGAAGAATTATTGAAAACATTCTCGTCGCCTGAAGAGGATCATGATCTGCTTTATAAATATCTTCATGAACACCTGTATGCAATTTTATCAGACCACAGTTCTGTGTTTGCTTCAGCTCTTGTATACGAATATTATGTTGGTGTTAATTCCTTGTTAAATAATGCTGATTTCAAGACTTATTTGAAGAAGTATGTGCTGTCTCTTGGTGATGTTGAGTGTCCGTCAGTTGAGGTGTTAGAACTCTTTATAGGAAATTTCATGCTGGGTTTAACGAATGAGACCTTAATATATTTTGTTAGAACAATTCATGGTGCTACTGCAAATGATGAAATAAGGAGAAAAAGGTCAGGTGACAAGAGTGACTCGAGGACTTTTCTAGAATTGTGTCACTACATAGGTGGCTCTGTGGTGCATACTCTGATCTTTAAAGGTAATAAATTCAAGGACACCAATCACAGCTGGAACTTGTTTTTAGATGTAGTCCTTAAAAAGTTTCTACCAGTTGAGGGTGTTGGCAGTGCTTGCTCCAGTAGTGCTTCACATTTTACTAAATCTGTAGACAGAGGTGGGCTTAAAGACATAAGCCAAGAAGCATTAGATTTTTTTGTTGTATTATTTGACATGCTAATGTCTCTGGAGGGTCCTGATGGATCATTACCAAATGATGTAATTGAAGAAAATGTCCTTCAAGATAGTAGTATTTTGTGTTTGTGGGATGTTTTGGTGGGAAGTCATTTAGATGATGACACTGTGTCATTAGACTTTCTAACCCAAATTTGCAACACTTGTAAAAAAATTGTGATGAAAGGGATTTTGAAGAGGCGTTTGAACGAAAGATTGAAGAAAGCTTACTCTGCTGTGTCACTCAGGTCAAGGTTGGCTGAGTGATGTCTTTGCAGAATAAATATTATTTACAAATGACTACACTTTTACGCTGCCAAATATGTAGGCGATAATGTTTCTAAGTCAATTTTACCAAGAAGTTTATGTGTGCATGTTGTGTTTCTTGTGATTGTGTTCATTTTTTCATACATATTTTTTTAGTTTGTTATTCAGAGTATCACATTTATTTTTGGATAGAATTTTTTAAAAATATAAAAAATACAAACCAACTTAGAGTATATTACTTATTCTCACTCTTCTAAAATGTAAGATGTATTATCACATTGATCATAAAATGACAACAAAGTATATCTTTAGACAAAATTTAAAAGTACTGTCACAAAAAAAAGTATCACTGAATACTGCTTCAATTACAGAC